TGGTAATACTTCGTTCAGTTACATTATTCTTTGAAATTAATGTACCATTATCCAAAATATTATCCATGGAACAGCCTTATATGAAAACTAACTTTTAAATTCATAAGTCAAAAATTATTACAGGTAAGATTTAAATTAAAATAAATATAAATTTATTACATGTCATTGCTTCTAAGTAACAATATATGTCAAGAATTCAATTAATTGTTTTCAATGATAAATATTTAAGGTCTTGAAATGATAAACTCATTATCCAATGGCAGTAATCAAGGACTGGTATAAACAATCTTCAACTAAGCAAAAACAATTTGATAACAATAGACAATAAACGTCCTGTTATTATTATAGATAATGTTTAATAAATATTAAAATTAAATAACACAACTCAATTTATAATATATATTTTTGAAAATATACATTTGCATAATGTATGTAATGTACATACTTTTAATTTCTCAAGTTAAAATATATTATTTTTATATACAGAGACTTTAAACTTTTAATTATAACCTTGTTGTTTTAATTTAAAAATTTAAAATCACGCTGTTCAAGAATTTAGTGACATTGTTGACAATTATATTTCTGAACTGAGTTCCGCCTCATATTTGGGCTTCAAATGCGATTTTAGTCAGAACTACAAATGCATACGCGAGTCATTCCACGCAGTTAATCAATCATTTTTCCACCACATCAAACATATTTGTATTTATACTGTTTAACATTCGTCACCTATATTTTAATGCAGACCTGACACAAGACCATCAACAACACGGTATCAAAAATAATAATATTACGAAAATATATTGACTTATATACTCAAAGAGGCATATTACTAGGCTAGAATTTTGAATGCAGTTTGTCATCGTGCAAAATGATAAAAACAAAAATTATAATATGACAACAATTAAATTTGCGATTTTAAAAATGTATAATATAATATAATACAATGTATAATAATATAATATAAATTATAATGTATAAATATATAATTAACATATGTGATGTATAAACAATCATTTTAACCACGCCAATGATTAAATCATTGTCGTCCTAAACTGTAAGTGGGAAGGAAAATGATGTTCATAAATATTTAACTCCTTCAAATCTATGATGAATGTAGTTGAAATACTTTTGAGCCCAAGTGCAATTCGACTACTACCTGCTTTTTACTCGAGTGCAATTCGACTATTACCTTTTTTAAACCCAAGCGCAATTCGACTAAAATAAGTGCAATTCGACCATACCCCTTCAGGTGAACCAGGTTGCAGAGTCATCCAAAATAGCCAGGAAGGATAAGGAGACACAATCGCCATGCTGGTGGGAAGTTTTCACTGTGAAGTGTAATATATTGAGGCATGTAAAATTTCATAAACAAATTAAATTTACATGTGGTGATTGCAAACAAGATTTCACTCGTCGAAGTAATCTGTCCGACCACATTAAGAGCAAACATGATATGTATTTAATTTAATATTATATAGATATCAGATTAGTGATTGATGACTTTAATTATCTAATTTTATATATTTATATATTTCCACAGGCCTCATCAATTAATTTTACTATGTTATAAGCTATACAGTCGAACTTGGTTATCTCGAAATCGTCGATACCTCGAACTTTTACTCCGGTCCCTAGAATTTCCTATTTAAACAATGTAAAAAAATCTTGTTTAACTCGAATATTTTCGTGGATAACTCGAAGTTTTGAGTTTTATTAATAAATATGTATTTGTATAAAATTTCCCTCATTTATCTATAAAGGTAAAACTTCTCTACTATGGCTTCAAAAAAGAATTTGGAAGATCATGAAATTGAATACCTACTTTTTTTAAGACCTCCTGAAGGATCTAAAGATGAATTAGAAGATGTAAATTTAGACGAACTGGTTTGTGAAAATTATGATAATAATGATATATATGATCATAATGATAATTATGATACAATTGACCTTCCTGATCTAGATGAAAATATTTTTGTTCCAAATAATAATTTAGATTCTACTGATTTACCAAACCCTATACTCATTGTTTTACCCAATTCTAATTCTTTAACTTTAAGGCAGCCTTTGGGAAATAGTACTGCAACTGGTGAAGTATCAATAGAGCACACTCCTATTGTTAATAAAACAAATACCTCAAAACGACAAATTAAATCAGTGATTTGGAAAAAACGACCATTTCAAATGTCTCCTAATGAAATTAAATTGAAAGATGACACTTCTCTCCCACATGACCCTTTTTTTAACTTAGAATCTCCCCTAGATTTTTCAACTATTTTTTTTTTCATCTGATCTTATTAAACATATATGTGAAGAATCATTGAGGTATAGCATACAGAAAAATGTAAATAAACCATTTGATATAACTGAAACAGATTTAAAACGATATTTGGGAATATGTCTTATGACTTCAATAAGTATAATTCCTGATATTAGGCAGTATTGGTCTGAACATTTAGAAAATCATGTAATAAAAAACACTGACAGTGAATAATTTTGAAAAAATTAGACAGTTCCTACATTTTTGTAATAATGATGCTTATATTTCTAGAGGACAACCAGGACACGATAGATTGTTTAGAATTAGAACTGTGTTAGAAACTCTTAAAAAAAGATTTCAAACTGTAACTTTAGAAGAGTCACTATCTGTTGATGAGCAATTATGTGCTACTAAAGGAAGACATTTCATGAAGCAGTATATGCCCATGAAACCTCATAAATGGGGCTATAAACTGTTTATTTTAGCAGGTGTTTCAGGTTTTACTTATAACATAGAAATTTAGTGGCCAAGAAAATGACCCTCAATATCGCCTTACTAATGAACCTGATTTAGGTGCAAGTGCCAACTTAGTAGTGAGACTTTGTCGAATTATACCTACTGATAAAAATTATGTAGTATATTTTGACAATTATTATACTTCTTTGGGCCTTTTGGTATACTTAAAAAATATTGGTATCTTGTCACTTAGAGCTGTACGTAGAAATAGATTAAAACAAGTAAAGCTTCCAAATGAAAAAGAATTTATGAAATCTATTAGAGGGTCATCAGTTGAATGTATCACAAAAATACAAAATAATATTATAAGTGCAGTTGTATGGAAAGATAATCGTTTGGTTACTTTATTATCTACATTTGTGGGTGAACAGCCAAAAACTGAAGTTTTAAGGTTTTCAAAATCACAAAAAAAAAGTTTAAATATACCATGTCCAAGTGCTGTAACTGTTTACAATAAACATATGGGAGGGGTAGATTTGTTGGATGCTAATATTGGCAGATACAAAATACTTAAATACACATGAGAAGTAGAAAATGGTATATGAGGTTGTTTTACCATTTACTGCAGGGGTCGGCAACCCGCAGAGCAATTTTTGATGGCCCGCACAAAGGTGGTTAATTTTTGTGTTTTACTTTTGTTCAATAACATTTTTCATATAATTTTCAATATTATATAATTCTTTTTTCTTTATAAATAAAATCTAATCTAACTGTTTCATAATAGCAATACAATTATAAGTATTATATCATAATATGTAATTTTTTTTTTTTAATGTGGCCCTTGATGAACAATTGAAAAAAAAAATGGCTCATGTGGTTAAAAAGGTTGCCGACCCCTGATTTACTGGATACATGTGTAGTGAATGCATTGATTTTGCAAAAGAGAGTTCTTTCTCAAAAAAATGAAAGTAATAAAATTATTACTTTGTCAAAGTTTCGAGAGCTAATAGCTGTGTCTTTGTGCCAAACAGGTAAAAACATAGATAATATAACTCCAACCAGAGGTAGACCTAGTAAAAAGGTTAATATGGTATTTATGGCAGATAGAAAAAAACCTAGAGTAGTGCATACATCAACTATCACTAATCATGAAAGGTATGATTGTGTTAGTCATTGGCCAGTTTGGAATATTACTAGACAAAAATGTCGATATACAAACTGCAAAGGTTTCACATATATAAACTGCAGTAAATGCAAAACATTTATGTGTTTCAATGAAAACAATAGCTGTTTTGTTAGCTATCACACAAACAATACAAATTAGTATTTGTTTTTTTATTATAATTATCTCTGTTATTTTGTTTTTTAGTTACAAAGGGAATTATTATTATTATTATTATTAATATTATTAATATTGATTTCAAAGAATTATTATTTTATTTTTGTTAATGATGGTATACAATATACATTTGAATAAAAACACTTATTTTCAAAAAGTAAATAATATTGTATATTTTTTTCTATATTATGACAAACATACTCCTTGCGCATATGTAACATATATGCTACAATGTAAGAAGTACTTAAGTTTGGTACTTAGAATATAAAAATTGAATTTTAAATTATTTTTTAAAGGTTCTAAGTCTTATACTAAAGGGTGTCCAATAAAGTGCGCAACTTTTGAATCTGCTGTCATTTTTTAAATATTGTGTTTACAGCCCTGTTTTTATCGTTTCTAGTATCTATTTTTACTCCGATTTAATAATCAGTTGTTGTTTTCTGTATTGGTTCAGTCGTCATGGAGCGGTTTACAAATAAACAACGTATTCAGATCGTGAAAACTTATTATCAAAATTATGAAAGTGGGACTGACACGGTAAGGCGACTTCGGGCGATTTTCGGAAGAAATGAAGCACCCAATAAGTTGAAACGGGACTTGAATTATCAAGTCACCGCATCATAAGAACACTAACTCGTTCGGTTTGTATAAATGTAATATAATACGTTTTATTTTCATATACTTAAAATAATAATTACAAATATTTAGGGGCGTTGGAACAAGGTCCTTGATAAGTTAAACAATATTTAGAGAATTCGGTCAGTTTACAATTAATGGGGAAGGAACGGAGGATCGGTTATGGCCCGCTTAAGAAAGTGGCGTCAACACACGATCACCGTCCGGGTAGTGCGAGGCCTAGACAGGCGCGCTTAGGGGGGGACTTTGTTTTTATTGAGCTGGCCCTGTTTTGGACGGCTCTATATCTGGTCCCGATATGGTCAAGTCCTCCG